CACTTTTTCTCAAATATATAGATATACATATAGGTGTGTATATATGTAGGTTATCACATGCCGTTTCTGACAATAAATTGCAGTTGTCATCCGAAATATTGGAACAATGAAGGATCGTTGCTTTTTGATGTTTATCTAAATCCGTTGATTAATCGATAAGTGCTGTTACTTTGTGTTGGTAGTTCTACGGAACTGGGAACGCATTGTCGGAAGGTGAAATAGGGTGCGGTCAACAAAACAATCCTGTTGCACAATGACTATAACAGAAGCGGTGACGAACAATTCGTAATGCTCTCTCCGGGAAATTGTAGGAGTAGTGCTGTTTGCCCCCGATATAATCTCATTGGACATTATCATAGAGGGCAAAGCTAAACGCTACACCACAGTATGACGCGTAAGACACACATCGTCATCTAAGACTAGTGCCTTGCGAGCTGCTCTGCGTGTGAAAAATCAGTCGACAATTTACGCAAATTTGATTACCGCCTGATGACGCGTTGAGGGCCTGGCAGCGCAACGCCCTCCTAAAGGACCCAGAGGGCGGTATCCACAATGCTGTGGGTTCTGCTACTGAAATGCGTTCGTACTTCGGTTGGCCGAATGCACTCCGACCCACCCTGATCCATTGAAGAACCACTGAGCTGCAAGCTTCGTAGTGTGAAGCTGAAGCGAGGTGGCTGGCTTGCATCGATTGTGCGGTCGCGGTTCCTATTATATGTACATAGCTGAATGAGTGATTTATGCAAAAGGCAACTGAGAACATCCCAGCACAGTTATTGGTGTCTGAGGCCGATTGTGGCTTGCTGTCGCCAGGTGTTCGACAAAGATGCGCGACAAGTAACGGTTCAGTAGAATGAAGTAACAGGAGAGCAATGATTGAACCAGCGTCACGTAATGTCGGGTAATATGAGAGCCGGAAACCAGTTTTACGTTGTGCACGGGCTTGATTACGGACAACGATTATGATCCCGTCGCCGTTGATAATGAAAATGAAGGGAAATTTTTAGACTACGTCAGTGGCGCTTTCTTCTGCATCCACAGTCGCTGCTAGTGATTAGTCAACGTGCCCTCCAGCACGCCGCTGTCACGTTTTTGTTGTATTCTCCTCTAAGCAACAAGTTGCATTGGATAGATGGAGGCTACAACTAGAAGGCGTACGAAACGAAAGAAGGAAAGCAGTAGGAGAAAGAAGCGGATGGAAGTAAGGAGGTGAGATTCCCAACGCACGAGGCATCAGATCAAAAGGCTATACGAAAAAGCTTGTTGCAAGACAGACATGACACTCCCATACTCGCGTAGTCACACATGACCAGAACACAAACTGACAGACATTGGGGCAATGTAGCTAGGATGAGCAGCTGCGGCGAAGATACGCCCACCTGTCCAACCCAGAACTTGCCCGATACCGTCGACGACGGTGTTCCTGCTCTTGCTATCTGTTGGATTAAGAGAACGAGTAAACGGGGGGAGGGGATCACCGCGAGGCTTTAGGCAAGCCTCTGTACGAACAATTCTCGCCTCATGTACACTTTTTTTTATAACCCAATAATAAAGGAAACAGACAGAGTGGTGTTGCATACAGAGAGTTCTTTGCCTTTTGCTTTTGTGGGTGTTCATCAGAACGTTAACTCGAATGAACTCGGCCGTTCACGTCGTACGGCTTACTTGTTTTGTAAGCAGTGCTGGCGCTAAGTTTACAATATAACGGAGGTGCGGGTGGGCTTTTTCCATGAGCCCAAAACATACTGTTGTGGGCTGTGGCACGCATTGAAAGCCACTTTTGCTGCCTCTGCGAAGTTCAGTGCCTCTTAGCAGAGTTAGCCAAGGATCTGAACGCTGGTCCCAGACCTGTAGTTCCGCTGACTGATTCTGAGTGTACCGAAGGTCCCATTCCTAACAACTGTGGTAAACGAATAAAAATATTAAAAAAAATGCAAAATATTCATATCAATTTTATTGTCAATGAAAAACGACATCTATATGCTTTACATAACGTGATATCGAAATCAGTCTCGTTATGCGTTAGTAAGGAAACATAGAGAACAGTGTAAACAATTTAAGACACTCATTTCCAAATAGCAGGTCTGTGTCTCGATGATAAGCGCCTCCTTTCTATTATATTAAAATAAAATTCACGTTGAACTATATTGATGCTTTTTACGATAGTTACTGAAGTCACGCTGTATGAAACGTAGCTCATTAGAAAGACAGAGTAGGTATTTTGTGTACCAGGAAGAAAGTGTCACTCTGATGTGCTAAAGGTGTCGTCCTCAGATGAGTCCTGGACCTTTTTAGAAAGAGCAACACACAAACGTACCGCTCTAGCTTCTCCCGAGAGATACAACGTCTGCCACCTTGATTTTCATAGGCAGCTATGGGATTTCTGTACAGTGACTAATGTCAAGGAAAGCTGTACCTAGTTACGAGCAAAGAGGACTAGCTGAGGATTTGAGGTAACGGTGTGTATGATTATCGCCTATCCCGTCACAGCTAGTACACTCAAATGTGCAGGACGTAATAAGTGAGGAAGCCCTCGAGTAGAACCATGCTGTCTCTGGTTACGTTGTACATCTGCGATGAACGTGTCATGGGCCTTATATATTATAGTAGGTGTAAAGTCTCAATTTGGGTGCTCTCGTGAGAGACTCAGAGAAGCCGATAGGAGAATCTGAGAGGACGCTGTCAAGCGGTGAATTACGTAGTTCCTTCCAAGGTTGTGCTAAGCTTGGTCTGAAAAATATTTCCTTTCTATATCTCACTAAGGCTGTAGCATACTTGTAAAGTGCATAAAAGTATATTTATATATACAATACGGGAACGCTGTGCTCACCTAACGGCTGTACATGTTCCCACAGCAACCACACGGCGTATTTAACTTACGACACGAGCGTTTCACAAGCTCTTTTATGCGTGTGTGTATGCAAAGCACTCAGATCCGCCTACATATACTGGAACTGTTATTGCAATATAGAGGCGGATCACGCAGACTGTGTCTGATGCACACACTCAATGCCGGCCTCCGCGGCCATATTTTGTTCTGTCTGACAACCAATATGAAAAAAAACTGAAATTCAAACACTAAAAGAGCGAGTTCCTTGGTCTTCTTCCAACAAATAGATGCCGGTGAAACGAGTTGTTCAGCACCCATGCACAAGATGAGCAAGCAGAATTTTCAAAAACTTTGCCCTTCAATTGATCAGCGACGTCCGGCAAAAATTTCCGAATACCTGCACGCTGCTTCTAGTGCGGGTACGTGCACACAGAAGCACGCTACCTGAACTCCCCATCTCCGTAATTTTTCCCAAGTGCCTAACCTGCGTAAGAGTCGTGGTTTGGCACAAGCACCGATCGTCGCAGATATTCCTGCAACTGCTGCACGAACGATCTAGCAGGTTTCACCTGCAGATCTTACCCCGTGTTCGGTCTTCCCTCCCCTCCCGGATGTACTACGAATCCCACCACATATCGTAGATGCTTCAGCTGCTTGCGGTATTCGTAATGCTTCCTCTTGACGATGAGACGATTGTGTTGCTTATTTGGATGCTTGCCTACTGGTTCGCCACCGCTGCTATTGCGGGTAATGCCTGGTCAATCCACTACACGGTGGCATATCGTAGCTGTGGCCTTTCAACGATGAACCTACCGTGGTTAGTCTCGACTAGCGACGGTGGTCGGAAGCGGGAAGGTTGGGGGTGGGATCAGAGTTTGGGTCTGAGAGCAAGAAAAAGAGGAAGGCAGATGGACATCTAGCTATCTATATCGTATAGTAAAGTGAGGCGCAGTGAAGCCTAGCGCACAATCAGTTAGACCGAACACTATATGGCAGTGCTTGCTGGGAACTGGTGGCTGTTGGTTGCTACTGGCAATCTGGTAAGTGCATAGTATTTTCCTACACCACTACACTTCAGCAGTTGTAAGGCCGTACATTTGATCTCGTATAGAAAGTGGAGGGCTGGTTGAGGAGACTGCAGTCTAAAAAGTGGGGTACTAGCGAAGGCGGCCATGATATAGCACAGTAAGTAGCAGTTTAGTTCATTGCTCGCTCCTGCTGTATGTCTGCAACAGTAGAGGCTTCAAAGCTAGATATGCTGTGGCAGTAACATGCTATGGATCTAGCACAGACACAAACATATTTGCTCCTTCGCCAATGGGCGACTCCCATGCGTGCGAAATCTCATGTAGCGATTCTTCGATGCTAGTTGTGGCAACTAAATTACCTGGCGAGGACTGTTTAGCCACTCTAAGAGCTGCAACGCCTGAGGACCAAAGGAAAGGAGAGAACGCGGCCAATGTTTCGGTGAAGAAGCGAAGTCTGAGGAGAAGGAGGCAGAAGCGGTGGTAGCATGCGGTGGTCTTGTGAAGTGCTATCTATTAGTGTGTATGCTATAGTGCTCGAATTATGTTTGCTGCGTGATTACTAGCTATTACCGGTGGATGATTCCCGAATGATACAACAAAGCACACATGAGAGTAGCCAACTTATCCAGGCCGACACTCAGTTGAGCCCTGTGCGATGCACGCCGGCGCTTGCGACGTGAGCCGAGGCCACTCCTTAGTCCGATGTTTGACATAGGCCCTCTGAGGCAACTTTCAATGCGATACGCATTGAAGAGGAAAAACAGACGCTCACTTTCAAGCTTCCCTAAAGAACAATCAGTTTTATAAATCTACCTACACTAGGACTCCTCAGCGACCTCCATTGCATAACAATCTTCAGCAAGATTATAGTAACAGCAAATGAAACATTTGAATCAGCAAACAAGAAACTCGCTGATATTGCTGAACGGACTTTTTATACTTTATAAAGCCCCAATAGAATCAAATTGACATTGTTGTTCGGAAGTATCGATATGTTCCGCAGCTCTACTCATTTACGTCCTAATAGTACTCGACACTCCTATAAGCACTTTTCCTGCACTATAAGAGAATGTTATTTATGAGGCCATTTTGGTTACGATTTGCATAAGACCAATTTATATCAGCTGGAAAAAAAGCAGGCCGTTATCCCAAATACCACACGATTTGCGAGCTCTTCTTCTGGGCCGGGGGTTTGGGGATCGATAGAATTAAAATGTTCTTTCCATTTGTTAAAATAGCCGCCTACCGGATTTCGAGACAAATCGTGTCAGACGACGTCCATTTAGTCGATAATTTGTCGGGAACGAAATATTTTCAAGCAATCGATTTCTTTCTGCGCTCAATACAGCGTCTATTGCTCTAGCAACTTAGCGACTGGCTTGGTCCTCGTATCAGAAAGATGAATTGGCGCCGAGGCTACGTTGGTGAGCCTTTAAATTGAAACAATCGTTGGCTGTGAGCTTCCGAGGACTGTTTTTCATCCTCTTAGGACTGTAAAGTGCCCCAATTGTATAGGGCCATGTATGGCTGTACACGTGGTTTCCCCATCATTTGCAAGCACATTTGGATTTGAGTTCTTATCAATTGCATAGTTTGCTTCATCGGTTTATTCTTGCTACGACGAAAGCAAAAAGAGGAGGGTGCAAACCTGTTCCAACAACTGATGACGCCGCGCTGCATGCTTCGTTAGCCAGTTAACCGGAATGTTTTGGGCCATATTGAAATGGCCAATCCCAACGATGAAACAATTGAGACTGCCATGATTTCGGATAGAGCCCCTGCTTTTAGATTGTTGCGGTGGAGATAATATTCTGCTACAGATTGTTGCGATAACATTTACTGCGGAGCAACAAGGAAAGAGCTTATGTTCTGTTCACCTCTTCCACTGCCGCCGCCGCAGCTTTCACTCCTCAATGCACTCTCGCTTGCCCGAAGTGACAACGTCTCTCGATAGCTCAACGCGGAGTTTCAAATGGCACATGTGCTTCAAGCATATGGCAGTGACACCCCATACTGAGTGCGAATAAACGCTAGCTTGAACTCGGCTTCTCTCTATAGCTCGCAATACGCGCCTGATCATTACGCTATCGCTGATACACCACAGCCACTGTACAAGAATTATTATGTACTAAAAGCTGACTGACATCACTCGGCACCAGTCACTCACACGTATCCACTGGCTAACCGCCACTGTGATAGCAGTGACGTTAATCACGAATCCGACGGCTGAAATGCGTGGGGTTCCTATGGGAGCCAGTATGAGTTAAGGAAGAACAAAGGATAAGAAGAGCACACAGTAAAAGTTATGCCCGACGTATGTGTGCTGGATTGAACAAAAATGACGAAGTCAGTCGTGCGTGCTTGAAGGTAGCGCTGTAGAGTCACGGGGAGCCACGAGACGGCCGTTGGATCGGAAAAACCGACCATAGGTGAGAGGCGAGAGATGTGCAAGGAAAGGCGCGAAGAGCTGCTTGATAAGGAACAGCAAAGGAATAACACGCACTGGAGTCTGCACATCACATCGATGCCGCCGTATTGTAGAAAGCCAGGCGGATAATAGCAAAGAAGAGCGATGGCGCTGGCGTTTCGTGGCTGTTGTTGTTGCAAAGAAAAAGGCAAGACGGCACAGAAATGGGCCATGGGACAGCACGAACAGGATCGCAGAGGAACATACAAAGCGGCAGGGTGATGATTTCCATAAGGTGGTGCACCATAGGGCACAACTCAGTGAGGTATGAACGGATGTTCTCATGTATAATGGTGGTAATGGTCGTGTCGGTGTGGCTAGAAAGTGCCGCTAGCCTCCGCTGCAGGGTGAGCAAAGGTAGACGCAGGATGCATGCCTGGCTGAACCAGCGCCTCGCTTGCGGTGATGGTGAGAACGAGAACTGTAGAAGAGTGACAGGCACACGATCCGAGCGGAGCGAAGATGAGGACGCCGACGAGGCACATGTTGAAAGCATGAAAAAGAAAGACACGAACGGACAAAAGCAGAGAACGCAAACAACTATACATACGAACGGCTGGATACGGGCAAAAAATGAGTATTCGATTCGTCGTTGGCTCACGGGCTCGCGATTCAGATTTGAAGTTGTCGCAGGAAGTAGAAGTAGGTGCACCGTAGCGATGGGTGACTGAAAAAACACGATGCAAACCCGTGAAAGACTTCACATGAAACGATAAGGTGAAATAAAGAAACTTTGGCCAACAAAACATCTATAAAAATACTGAGAATAAACGAAAGAAGCCATAAAATGTCCCAATCACTTCTATATTTGAACAAAGTGAATCGTTCATTAACATTTTATTCCAGTGCATCGTATACATATTGTTGGGGACGTCGTAGGGATGAACGTATCTAAATGTCATTTATATTTTACCATTTCCCGTTGTCGGACAACAGCAAGATAATGACGTCCAAAAGAACGTCACAGTATTGCTTAAGCGTCATGTATGCTATTCCACTCAGAGACATTCCCTGTATGTATCCTCAATAGGAAATACATTCTGCGGACAACAGCTCACAAATGCATGACAAGTTGTGAACATATGGACGCGTTTATACACAGGTGTATAAACATCACGTGAATTTTGAAGCAACACGCGCTGATACGTTTACGCAAGATGGAGACTTTGATGTTGTCCTTCTTGGCTTCCGCCCAATATAACGTCCAGGCGCTAATTTTATACTAAAGCTAATACGATGGACAAGGTAGAAAATAAGTTAGTTAGTTTTGAAAAAGGCTATATCTAGATAAATAAACTGGGGTTTACTAGAAGATTATTTAAATAATCTTGCTTTTTTGCTGACACATATATGCGATGTGTTAAAAAAAGTATAGACAATTTGCCTTTGTACCGATCGCATATATCCAAATCGGGCTAATCGAACAGTTGTGCCCTTTGAAAAAATCTGTGTGGCGCGTGTACTTTCAACCATTCAGTCTGAATTTCCTGAATCGTCTCAATCATTTTTACTTTCAGGTGTTTTTTGAATTTCGGAGAGAAAACAAGGTTGCACGAGGAGGACGGCGTATGTGGCTCCTCGCGAGGGCGTTAAGGTTCTTCTGAGCTAGTTCTTCACGAATCTGAATTTGCCTGAAATATAGGTCTTTCATCTTCTAAAATGGCCTGGCATGATTCATGTCCACCGATAACACTTACCGTTGACTCAAAGCCTGATTCCAAAAGACATTCTCCAGCATTGACACAGACGCGTTCTTTAGTAGTCTGTGTTCGTTTTCTATGAAAACAGGGAAAGGCCCAAAAATTGCCTATTTTAAAACGCTTGCAAAATATAAAGCACACGTGCGTTTTCTGTAAGACACCGGCCACACTCCATGAGACTTCTTTGTTTAGGCCTGTTTTCTTTTATAAAGTGATACGTGCAGTTGATTTCAGCAGAGTTTCCTGTCAGTAATATCTGGCTAATTGATCCCCGGATGAGTGTCCCAGAACGATGGAAGTGGGCTCACGATGGCTGAAATCAGCAACCCCTTGACAGTAATAGAGCCACCTCTCTGCGGGAATATGTCTAAGTAGATTTATGTTATTCGGCTTTCCCCGACATCGTGCTTTTCCGTCACGGATATCTTTACGCTTGCAACTTCTGAACGCTCAACTTTTCAAGACAATTTTCTGGAGCCTCAAATCTCTGACGTGCAGTATTCAGCTTTCAGCAGCTGCTACACGACGAATCCGCAAACATCGCCGCTCCTTTCCGACCCGAAAATTTTTCTGCCTTCTTTCGTCCGCGCCAGGTTCACCTGCCGCAGCTGTTATTAGCGTCACTGCAAAAGGCTTCTTTGTTATGTTTGTCGCTGTTGTTGCTGCTGCTGGAATTGTTGCCACTACGAGATCCAAACTTTCTCCCAGCCACTTCATGAATATTGCCAATCAAAGCGTGTATTCCGGCACGTTGAATCGCAGACACTGACGTAGGAAAGAGACGGAGGCCTCTGTTGTTGCTCATCTAGGTAGTCTAGTGCTTCCGGTTTTATCTGCTACTTTTAATTACTACTAAGACTATGATGATCGTTGGCCCCTTAAACCGATGAAACTCCAATCAGGTAATAAGGAAATCAAATAACAGTGCTCACATATACAATCAGTCATACTCAGACATGACGATTTTTCAGCCGTTGATACGGGTCTTCTTCACTTTCATTAATGGTAACGGAGTTCAAGTGCCTCATAAAACTATTTGCTCTAATGAAAATACATAATTTTTTAAAATATCTCCACCCCGAGTAAAACTAGCACCGGCCTAATATTGCTTACCTTATCTTCTTCCGAGCTTTTCCTACCATACAATCCGGGTCTTGTTCTGACGTTTCGAATTATATCGAATAATATGTTGGAGTAATCACAAGCTCCGCTATTTTCACATGCGCAAAACTCGCAGAATACCCACAGCGACAGTAGGATATAATATACATGTTGAAATATTTTGTGCGAATCTATTTCATATCCGACGCGTATTCTCTTGTAAGCTATTTTGAGCCACCACTACGAATCGGATCCCTCGCGAAGTCTACGCGCGGCATAGGAGCGGCCAAAGAAATGTGTACACCCGTCGAATCGAACCCTCATTATCGTACAGTGGGCAAATTGAACAGGGCTGAAAGGAAGAGCGGCCGAATGAGGGGACGAACAAGTTCAGGTATAAACCCCGTCAACAAGTGGTAAGCAAGTGAACTGACCAAAGGATGAAGCATTAGATGTGTTAGGTGCGCATCGTCGATGCAATAACTAGGATTACTAATACATCAACAGAGTCTGGGATGGATTCCATATTTACCAATACGCCTAGAAAGCAAGGCAGGCTAGTGATGGTCTGCAAGATTACAAACTTCTTGAAGAACGAAATGACTCGTTCGTAAGTATGGAATATCGTTCTGCGGCTACGGGCTTAAACAATGACTATTTCCCGTCACTGACTGATCGAAGAACTCACTCACTAATCAAGGTTTGGCAACCAAAGGGAGCCGTTCGACACTGATGAGAACCTCGAACGAACGCTTTTACTCAGTGGCAATTTTTTTGGAGAATGACTCACGGAAAGGTATCGATGTCTTCTATACTCACAACTAACTCTACTTTGCTAACGGCGACCTTAGCTTAGCAATGACATCTTCCAAGTTAACTATCCTAACTTAGAGATCGATAGCAAACGTTGGATTGTTGTTGTGTCGATCAATCAGTGTATTTGAGATGTTAGATGATTTAGGTTATGCATGCAAAGCAGGATCGTGAGAACAGTATCGATGACAGACCTATCATCTCTGTCAAGTACGATGCATTTTCGACGAAAAGTACTAAAAGAAGTAAAATTTGCAAAGTTATTCATACCAGACAATAGAGAGCGTACGTATAAATCATAGCGTTTCAGTAAAATGTCCTATCAGAAGGGAGGCTGAACGCGCTCATCGTAGTATAGCACAATCAATGCTCGGAAATCTATTGGAATTCTGGATCTGCCCATTCCGGAAAATGAAGCGTGCTCATTAATTGCCTAAGTGCCCATTGATATCAAGCACACGTTCAGAACGGAGAGTTGGTGGTAACTGTCGAATATATGGAGGCTGAATTTTGAAAGCGCTCTTCATTGTCCTTTGTAAATTGTGTTCCTAGTTAGGGACATCGATAGCATGCCAAGGGTCTGTACAGACAGAGTAAACAGGTCAGACAAAGACCTATGTGATACATTTCGTACTATCTGGTTGAAAAACTGCTGGCTGAGTTACAGATATATACATCTGTAGCTCTCTGCGCGTTGTCTGCAACGCATAAAGTCTTGTAGGTGATTTACACTGGGGTTCGTCATTGTAAATTGTATAATATGCTCAAGCTACTGCAGACAATGGCGTAAATGCAAGTGCTGTGTCGATATACCCATCAGCCGTTGGCTGCTATCGAGACTACGCATTATTATGTTTACGATGCGAAAAGTAGCAGTCGACCGATGATGACTCCGTAGCCGAGATGAGACAATGAAGCCCGTGAGATATCTTGAGGTCGTTAGTACTAGCCACTCGAAATGAATAACTTGCGTCGAAGGTCAAGAGAACCGAAGCGTGTGTGTAGCTCAGCGGTCCTGCTGAAACGCAAGGGATCTGCGAATATCTTCAGCGTAGAGACCTCTGCGCCTGTAGAGGCCGTTTCTCCCGGGGCCGGTAGTCCACAAATAACTTACGCGATCTCTAAAACAAGTCACTTTGGTAATGAGAATATTTTCAGCTCTTCGCGCGAGGCAGGGAAAATCGTATCTGTTAGCTCGGACCAAAGGGGTCATCGTAAAGTTAAGCTTGCCCCATTGTGCTATTCGCTAAGGTACCTAGGACAACATTATGCTATGTTGTTAGCACATGTAAATGTGCGTCTCGTACGTAGCCATGGTCGAAGTGATTGTTATGTAGCATCCTTAGCCTAGTAAGCGCCGTCATGGCAATGCAGGGCGAGGCCGATTTGAGATAAACTGAAATTGTCGCAAACTTTTCAGGTAAATGTTTGCTTGATGTATTATTGATTTGCTCCATTAAGTGATACATGACATGTTGATCGTCTCGATTTCTATTCAGATTGTTTGACAGACCTTGTTGAAGTCCAGTGACGGTGCGCAAGGCTTTAAGTGAAATATAAAGCTAAGCTTTGCTCCATTAGATAACGTAACTTAGAATTTACTCAGCCATTGGTGACTACATAGGTGTTTTGAAGTGCAGTGTAACTGTGTTCTTACGCCCTCGTTAGCAGGCTTTACATTTGGGTAAACCACGATGAATATAACGAAGTGTGATAGATTCGTGAGTAATGCGTGAGTGCGTAAAACGAATATAATGTTCAACTCAGATGGACCTTCCGGCTGGTTTACCTGGTCGCATTGTTCGCTACGGCGTTGGCTGTTACCGTGGCGTGCATGCTACTGACGGTCGTCACGTCCTATTCGACTACCTGGCGTCTTCTCTATATTCCTATAATCGGAACGGCTACACTGTCGGTGGTCACCATCGTAGTATTCAAAGCAACACAACCTGACATCGAGGTGCAAAGTAGTTACCGAAAATGTATCTGCCGTATGTGTATTTATATAAATATGTATAGTTTAATATTTTCCTCCATTGAGCTCGTCGACAACTTTAGCGTCCACTTTTTCTTCGTTGCCACTGTTTAACAATGAGTATTTCTTTAGTATACAGTTGTCGCAAAAAGCGAGTTGTTTTTATTTGCTGAGAATGGGCCTGCACCAAGGTCAGACGTAAAATTCTGATATATATGAATCACCTCTGTTTAGCAGATCTGGCATCAGTTGAACTCGCTAGAGCCGGTATGGTAAGCTTTTGCACTTACCGCCCTCACCTGTCTGGTATCTAATTAGCCGCGATGATGACTCGCTCCGCACCGGACCTTCGCGGCGGACGACAACCGGAGTTCGTTCGTGATACCCCACCGCGAGTGTATCTCAACAACACCCGCCATCTTCAACCGCACATGAAGAAAATGAAATGCAAACACGGGTACGCGTTTTTTTCCATTGCTAGCCTAATGTAGGTCAGATAGTAACTGAATTGACGATCACTAATGATCTAGACAGCCCTTTTCTACGAAAGGACATTTTAGTTTTCAGTGGGGAATAAATTGTTTGTAAATTCCAATGACAATTAAGTATTCTGATGGCAAATTGAAAAAGATCCTTATGCCTTAACCTTGCAGTAGCAGATTTCATTGGTACACTCTTCCAAGACGCCGATGGTTGTTCGTTACGCACCGAAAAAGTAAATTTCAATGTACGCTACCGAGACCGCGTGTTCGAATGCGTTATGATGACAGAAAAGCTGACGCCATGTTTGTGCCACATTTAAATGATGCAATGATTAACAATTACTATCTGAATCGAGAGTTGCCGGAGCACCAGTTTTACCAAAGCAGCCTTTTTGGTGCGTCGCGAAGATCGCTCTACGGTCGCCGAAGCAGCATAATGAGTGACATGTCTCTTGTCAGCCAACGAAGGAGGATACAACGTCTTCGTTGGGAGATTAAAGCCTGCGAGATGTACGAAGAATTGCAACGTCGTAATGCTAAAACAGGATACACACCGCAGCAAAGTCCAACCGGCACCCCCTCAACGAGACTATCCCAACGATCGAAAATAATCAATGACGCAATTATCAAGTACTGGTTGAGTCCGTATGATCCCACTGAAGGAACCGTTGTATTACATGTTTAGCGGATCGGCCGTCTTTGGCTGTATATTATTAATGTAGATTTACTAGATTTGATTTTTTGTTTATGCATATTCACTTCTTTTTACATATACTATTTTATTCTGCTACGCGTGCGTCATGCTTAGAGAAAGCTATTCGAGCTCGTCTTAAAATATAAACTGTCGTCGTTCTTGACATGACAATATCGGAACTTTTCATTGTACTCATCATTATCACACTTCAGCTGAAATTTTGCCGGCTTCAGGAGGATTTGCCCCATTTGATTCAGCAAGCGTCCTCAACATATGAAGACCGCGAACGTGGACTTACGACGGTAGTTGGTCGCTTATATGATAGAGAGTGTATTGAATTAGTTTGGCAGAGATTGGCCTAGGTAAGGACCTGGTCCTGCATGCGTTAACTGTTTATCAACTTGTGGGAGGCTCTGTATAGTGATAACTTGATTTTGGGTCCTGCAATCACTCCCTTGTAAGCTTCTGCACCTTTGGTTTGTTGTTGTTGTTGTTGTTGTTGTTGTTGTTGTTGTGGGGGGGAGGGAGGAGAGGTGTATGTCCTAATTGAATTATGGCCCAGGTGGGCGTCTATTGTACTCTTTCATTTTGTCTTTCCCGAACGTAACGCCACCTGCCACCGAAACCAAAAATCACTGATGACAACTCATGAGTGATTCTGTACCTCAGTCAAGCAGCTCCAAGATGCCACTATACCCGTAGATACGCTTGGACGTATTTTTTGGGCAGTGGCCTAAACGGCGTGCGCACTGGTTGGCACCACTTCTTAATACTCATACTAGAGATAAAAGCACGGAATAAGTGATCGATAGTAATGAAATAAAGTTAGATACGAAAGAAATATTAGGTTTCCCTTTCAAGTGACTACAACGTCTAACGATTTCACGACAAAAGCGAATCAAACAGCCCCAAATTGGATGATTGAACTCAAATCATTTATTCTCCAATAAAGCTATACTTTTTTTTTTTTTTTTTTTTTTTACTCATAGTAGACGTTAATGCAATCAAAAAGATTATGAATAGTTACGACCATAAATCGAGGGAAACAACAAAGGGTTTCAAAGCTGTCTTGATGCCCACGACTACTACCAATAGACAACAGTTGAGGTATTTTCAATTGTGGAGTGTAATTTTTTGTTTGCATTATTACCCTTCTTAAATAATTAGAAATGTAATGCTTTCGCGCAGAAAACAGTTAGCTGAGAAACGCTTTGTCGACGTGCATATAGTTACGAGGCCTAACAGAGTTGAAGAAATTTATTTTTCTGCAGTACTGAAGCCAGTTGGCCATCGCCACTCAACACGTAAGCCGTCTTTCAGAACTAGGTAAGTGAAGTGTCCGAGCAAACGCATCTTTGCCACCAGCTGCTATACGATAGACATACCGCAAACCCTTGGAAACGACTGGCCATTTCTAAGAAAGGTAAAATATGTTTTTTCAAATTAGCATCACTTGAGTTTTTTTAATGAAGATCAGCCTAAGAATCACTAAGAATTTTCTATAGTATATCAAAAACTATATTCGAACTTCAATGTCTATAAATTACAAGTTTTTTTTAATAACTTCACCGAAAACCAAATGGGGAACGCGGTCATTCGATATAATAAGATAATCATAATTTGCGCTATTCATGTAAATATACAATGTGTTAAAAATTACCACATGTTGTAAAATACAGCTCTGTGCATGTATGAACGTGTTAAATTGGCTAGGCGTTAGAGTTTGCAGGTTGGGTAGATGAATTCACATGTGGCTGAATGAATAGAGGAAGTTACACTTGGTATGGGTATTATATTTACTCTTCTTAATGAACTTATTGGCAGTTGTTACTCTGATAATTAAATTGGGATCGCGTCTTAGCTGCCTTGCGGAACAGATGTCCCTTTAGCAAATAGCGACGCCGAAAAATGAAAAAATATTGCAAATTGTTGTACGATATTGGAAACTCATAAGCTTTTTCGTAGCGATAACGCGCATTCATCGGCGAAGCTTCTCCCTCGTTTCGTACCGTAGGTTTTCAGCGCTCACTCTCGGACGTCTTAAAGCCCTCGGGCCTTTACAGATTTGTGCCTTGCGACATAGCATAGATTTCCTCATTCGCTTAGTTTCCCCTGCTACAGCCGTTTCTACCTTTCCGCTTGCTTATCTATCGGCTCCACGCATAAACACTAAGACGGGAATTCTGCTGAATGAACTCTAGCGATTAGCTCCCTTTTACGAAAGTGGGTGGCCTCTATGAAAGGAGGGTTTGTTATAAGTAGGGCCTCTCCGGTGTTAGCACCAGTGATTGCTGGCAGTGGTGGTAGACATCAACGTTATGGTTTGTGGCTCTTACCCATTTGACAACATTGCATGATATACATGACAATAGCGCCTTATATATATACTTATACACATACGCTGTTATGAAGAAAAGGGAGACTGCCTGCCAAATGTTCGTGCTGAAATAGCAGGTCCGTACGTTATTGTATTGCGACTTTGTGCCGTTCCATTCCGTATCATAATCTCTAATAAGACGAGTGGAATGCAAGTAACCTGTATGCAGTACGTTGGAGTACAGGCGTGCAGAATGCGCCGCTGTTGGTGGCTCGAGCTAGCTACCGAACTAACCGATGCGGCGAATTTACTATACGGAAGCGGTTCTTTTTTGGCTCAAGTCGTGCCTCTTCGTTTACCGGGTAGTAACCACAACTCGCAGATCGGACGGTGAAAGGAAGATCCCGTGTACCCAAGCGCAGACCTGATGCACGAGCGTGGAGGATCGCATGCAGCATACCAAACGTCGTTTTGTCCGCAGTTTGCAGCCACGGAGAAGCCGACGCTGAACCAGCACTGGCCCACACATCACTATAGCGGTGTAGTGACCGCGCACAGTTGCAGAGATGTACGGGGGGTGCTTCTGGGGTGGCTCTGCAGCCTGCTCGGACCAACTATAGGTAGTCTTCGCCTTTGTTCGTAGAGGCTAGGCCCTGTAGTCGCGCAAGCGCTACAATACCGGCATCGAGTCTGGCCAGTGCGTCCGCGAGCTGGGTTCCTTCCTTTACTGTTGAATAATCGACTATCGTCCCCAACTGGGCAAACAGCAGTACAGTAGAGCACAAGACAGTTAACAACAGCATCAGCAACAACACCCCGAACGACGACGATAACAACATCTCCTTTTCATTTTTCACCTTCGTCGCTTGTGGGAAAATTAGCAGAGGATGGACGCATCAGAGGATGACGTATACACTTGTTGCTACTGTCGTTTCGTCGCCCAAAATAATGCTTCACATTACGGCGAATGCGTTCATCGTCAAACAGGCACCTGTGAGGAAACCTTATGAACTCTGGCTAAGTGAAATCATGATGAACGCATTTCTCTTGGTTTGTCTCGCATCTAATCGATACCATTGTTTCTTTATTACAACTGTATAACAGTTTCCTTCGATGTAAGCGTAGCCGTATGATGATGCACGTGAGTCGTGCTTGATTTTCGAACTGTTTGGGCTTGCGGGGTTTCTTTGCGTGGCTTTTACGGAAAGACCAGGAACGTCAATTAGTGATAGCGTTTGCATGTTATAGGTGCAATACGTCTGCAACACTGAATGCATACTAATATACTGCAAATAAACAAAAACAAAGGGACAATCGCGACCGTAAACGACGAGACAAAAGATCCACGTACATATACAATTTCTACAAGAAGATTCGATAGAAGTGAGCACGTGATGATGCATTAGATAAATTCGCCATCTAATATGATTCAGTTAACGCCATATCGTTTTTGTTATACTGTACGATAAGCCAAACCAGCGGTTATAGCCAATGCGCATCGTTACTTGCCATGGTCAAACATTTCAACAACGGTTCATTTAAAAAAAAAAACAACGATTTACCCAGATTTTTACGGTTGAGGAGATCAATCGTAATGGTAGCAAAATTATGTTCGTTTCTGGAAACCGCCTATGTCGTCCAGAAGAACAGCAAGTAAAATGGAAGTAGGTTAACCACAGAAGCGCATTGTACATCGTACGAAAGTGCAGCGAGAACACAAATATTGCCTCAGGGGGCTAAATAATTACAGTGAAAGTTCAGAATTTACGTTCAGACCGATCAGGCCTAAACTGAGCTTAGGTTAGATTCAGGAAAGGTAGCAGGATATAATTTAGCATCATCGGATGTGTCCGGGCAGTGCAGATTATGTACGAGTAATGGATGAGTAATTTAAAAATTTTTAATCGAATCATCCGAAAGATCTGGGAAAAACGGGTGATGGTGCGGGTCACCGTTTCAATCGTTTCCAGCCGTTATTCATTCTCGAGGTGTTATGTATATATTAAATATGATGAAGAATGATGAGTGAAGACGAAACGCCCTCCAGACATATTATGAGAAGAACATCATTAAAAAATCTGGTAAATGACAGATGATTAAAAGTCAGCAGTATGGAAACATATGCGAGAACGCAAGGAACAGGTAAGCCTTGCGGGATTATTGCGCAAAAATCAGTTAGTGACAAGGAGCAGCAAGTGGTGTAATGTATCTGAAAAGGGGTGACGGGTTATTTATATTAATATGTGATATGAGCTGCTTTTCTACGAGTGTAAGCGTATAGCAAATAATCTTGGGACTTTCGATTTCGCACAACAATTCAACAGGATTGTCCTCTTATTTCCATCACCAATAGGTTTAGTATAAAAACCGGGTCCAATTACCATGAGGGGCGATGGCCATCGGTCATAATGCTATATATATATAGATAAATTTTGAAGTCAGACTGAAATTACATGCGTTATCTTCTCTTAAATATCGTCATTGAGTGGATACCTAAGGCAGTCACAGCAACGCATCTTCTTCAATCCGTAAACATTCTCTTCTGTGGACGTTGTATTACCATTATTTCTGATCAGCAAATGCATATTTATCTGCACGATTGGTAAATTCCCGCAAATTGGACAAATTCTTTCTAAATAGCACATAGATAGGTACACACCCATGTGCGTCCATATAGCTCCCTATGGAATTGAGCAAATCTGGCGTCGTTTTCACATCGGCTTCGCGACGTTTTTTGCAGTTCACTTTCAATGACAGCTGCGACAACGACGTCACCGATGATGATGACCAT